AGGAACAGATGATTCCAAACCATTACGCCCGGTTAGACAAATAACTTTGAAGGGGAAAGTAAACATGCTATGTAGGTAGAACAGATCAGCTAAATATGTTTAAAGCCTTGGGGCTCCAGAAGGAAGAGCTGAGAGAAGTGGTTGTCGAAATGGGTGAGCCATCAGCTTTAGGGGCCTAAAGGCTTTAATAAAGCACCTGTGGGAATTTCACTTTCTAACTAGGTAATAATTTCCCTCTCTAGCCTACATTTTTCATCCAAATGTTATCATGTCATATATTCCTTCCATATCCAAAATAACCGAGTTACACAGAGGTCCCCATTAAATCATTCCTTTAATTTTTTAAATTTATTTTTTCCCATCACCATTTATCCTCTCTATGCCCTCTTCCACCTCCACCAATCCCTCTCCACTGCTGCCACCACCCCACTGTTGTCCATGTCCATGAATTCTCTTTTTTTTTCTTTTTACTCCATCCCTCCAACCCCCCACAACCCACTCCCACACGCCCAAGTTGTCTGCCTATCTCTAGCCATGAGCCTGTCTCTATTTTGCTTGGTGGTTCACTTTGTTCATTAAATTCCACATGTGAGTGAAATCATATGCTACTTGTCTTTCTCTGACTGGCTTATGTCACTAATGTTCTCCAGATCTACCCATGCTGTCGCAAAGGGTATTTAACCCCTGTTTTGCTAATAACATTTAAGATACTAAATAGAGAGTTCTTACATATTTCTTTTCATCTTTCAATAAGCATGTGAGAGAACATATCAATAATAACAACAGTAATAAAATTATTTATTGTATGCTATGTGCTGGACATCATCTGTATTATGCTCTCAACAACCCTATAACATGGGTATTATTATTAAATCCATTTTACAGATGAGAAAACTGGACCGTACAGAGGTGAGTTACTTGCCAAGGTTACAAAGCTGTCGGCAATACGGTAAGAATCAAGCCCCACCAGAATGGATCCAGAGCCTGTGGTCTTCATCTCGTCAATAGCTGGGATGTACTATGTGTACGTATGTGCCTCTGTGTCTTTGCAGGAAGATGTGAACATGTACCGAAGATAACTAGGTACCTGACTTCAAATCCTGGGTGATAAAGCCAGGGGAGCAACCCAAATGTCCAGGTGCCTGGCTTCCCGTCTTCTACCTGAAAATATGTGGCCCCACCAGTAGGCAGGGGAGGTGAGCCTGAAGCAAGAGGGGAGGGAGGCCATCGGGAGTGAGAGCTCATGTTAGCATAGGGCAGAGGTTTTTACTGTATCTGCCTCACTATGCACCAGAGAAAAATTAATTCACGACTTCTAAATGCAAGGGAGTTGCCCTCATTTCCAATGTAGCCTTGATTCTCAGGTGCCATCCCAGACACCGCAGAGACTATCTAGAAAATGCTTAGTCTCAAGCAGGACACTGACCACAGGAATTCCCAGAGGTTTGCATTCATCCCACAAGAGGCAGATGGGTCCCCATACTAGTGCTGGTAGGGGGGGAACCACAGGCAAATTACGTAATGTCTCTAAAGCTTAATGTCCTCATTTGCAAAATGGGCATGATATATCTTACAGAGTGGTAAAGATTAGATAAGTTAATATATGTGAATACCTGGCATCATATAATGTCTGGAGTGCAGTAGATGCCCAAGGTGTGTTAGATTTCTAATCCTCCCACCCCCTCTCCACACACACACACACACACACGTTTCCCAGACTCATGTTCCCAGGACGTTGATAGAGTTCCAGATTTAAAAATTGAGCTCCTGGCTCAGGATTCAGGAGCTCGCCACCTCCTGGTCACCCACGGGACTACTCCCACGCCCAGCCCTACATCTGCAGTGTTGGAAGGGGGCGGAGTCTACAGGGCATTCTTACAAAAATGCTTTCCCAAGCAGGAAATATCCTCATCAGCTGCAGGGAACGTGAGATCTTCCTCAGCCTACTTCGTGACCAGAAGTCCATATAAGTCTTGCTTTGTTCCCCCAAAATGTCCTAATCATGGTTTTCCCATCACAGAGCTACAGCACTGCAGCACATGTACAAGCATCACTAGCTACATCAAGCATGTCAAACTCGTGGCCTGCCGACCGCATGCCTCGCTTATTTGGCCCATGTTAGCCTTTGAGTTTGACATGCTTGATCTACATAAAAGGAGGCAGATCTCTCCTATATCTGCCTTTTTTCAATGTCCTTTGAAAACAGAGGACCTGAGTTGTGTATTTTTGCCCTCTTGGTGAATTTAGTATTATTTGGGCAACTTTCCCATGATGTTCCAACAAGAAACATGACTAAAATAAATATTTGGGGATATTTTACTCAATTTTTAAAGTTCAAATAAATCTCTAGGCATCTTTTTGAAAACAAATAAACCAGCCAGGTATGTAAAATTCAACGATGAATTATTTACACTGAAAACTGTTCTTCATCTTAACATGAAAACAATTCATTATAAGAATTTTAATTTCCAAACTGCACTTTTGTTGGAGTGCCCTTTGGCCATGAACAATGCTACACCTCTTTATCTCAATTAGAACCCTATCCAGTTATCAAAAATGAATGAAAATTTGATTGACAGCAACAGAAGGTTAGCTTTTTATCACTAAACAAACACCTCTCCAACAACAAAGTTATTTGGCAAAACAAGTTTCCACCAATTTCTATTGAAACCAAAAAAATAAGAAAAGAATAGAGAACTAAAGTGCTTCTTTTTTTCTCTTTTTCCCCCCCAAGTACTTTGACTAATGTCACTTTTCCTTTGTTTATTTTACTTCCTCCCTTACCTGCTGTTAATGAGCCTCACCGCTGACTATGCCCAGCGGGGGGAACAGAGTTCCAGAAAAACTTGTTCTTAAATAAAGAATTGTTCGTATTATAAAATTATTACTACTATGCTGAGATGTTCAACATTTTACTGCAATGGATTTTTTACAGTTAGTCACAAGAAATTTAAAAAAAGTAACCCCTAGCTCCATGTGAGAAGAATCTTTCTTTCATTTTATAAGGAAAACATTTTTTACATGTTGACTAGCTGCAATAATAGGATAGAGCACATTTTCTAAAATATGATTTCTGGCTACAAGACTACAGTGGGGCCTTGACTTACGAGTTGAATTCCTTCCGAGACCGAGCTCGTTAAGGAGCTCGTTAAACTCAAATTACTCTATCAACTCAATGCAAAAAATCGGCCGAGAGACAGCTGGTATCTCAAAAAACTCGTTAGTCGGGACACTCGTAAGTCAAGGCCCCACTGTATTTGATTATCATTCCTATAAAATAGTCCCTAACACAGCACCAAATACCACCCTGAGAACCAGGAAACACAAAGTCACACGCTAGCCTAATGCCAGGCAGACACTGTTTTCTCCCAGACTCGGCCAAGATATTCTGAGCAACACCATGGACACAGAACTTGCCGAGCACCCTCAGTTCTTCTCTTGCTCCATAAGCTCCTCTTCCTTCACACACCCTTTCTTTGTTCCTCAACACAGCCTACTTGTTGCTACCTCACGCCTTTCCCCTGGATGTCAGCAGAGCCACTTTCTGCCATTTGGATCCCAGTGCAATGTTCTCTTCTCAGCGAGGCCTTCTCCAACCCCCGGAATTATAGGAACAAGAACTATCTGCCATTAGTGTGTTCGCTTACAACTGATTCTCATTATTCATGGGACTGTGTGTATAAAGTCTCCATGAACACTGGCCAGTGCTGCACAGTGGTTGAACGTGAACCAGGAAGTTGAGGTTCAATCCCCAGTGGGGGGTGTGCAGGAGGCAGTCAATCGATGTTTCTCTCTCCCTCTCCCTCCCTCTCTCTTAAGTCAATAAAAAACATATTTAAAAATAATAATAAAATAAAGTTTCTGTGAACACTGAATCAGGGACCGTGGAACCTGTGCTCCTGGGGAAATACCGGGTTAAGCCGCTGAGAGGCTCTGGTCACATTTTCATCAACCCACGAATATGTCATTTTGTTTTATGTGTGTTTCTACTGAAAGACACCTCTCTATTATACATTGTTGACTCACTGACATTGACCTCCAGGCCAACAGCATTGTAACTCACGCCTGCATGAAACATATCTAGCACACGTGTTTTCTCCATAAAGCACATGGCAGTCTTTCTGCACTAGGGCACCAGGCGGCACTTCAGGACTACTCCTGGGCATCTTAAATAGCGAAAGCACACAAACGTGAAATGTAGCACTAAAGAGACCACAAAAGGACACTTGTTTACAACTGAGACACTGTCACCTTGGTCAACCTCAGCTGGGAGCATGCATGCCGGGAGCCTCAAATGTTTCATTGTTTTGTGCACGTCTGGGAATTACCATGAAAGCACCACAAGCACTGATTTCTGGGTTACAAATAAATTTAGCCAGTAGGTGAATTCATTAGTACAGAACCCATGAGTAACAGGGATTAACTCTATTTGCTTCTTTTTCAGCTAACATTCCCTTTTGAGTTCCATGACAATGGGGAGTCTGCCTGACCTTGTTTTCACTGTTGCATCTCCAGCATGGAAATAGTGTGAGGCAGATGGTCAATATCAAAGAAATATTCATGGGACGAGCGAGTGAGTGCATGCTTTTTCTCTCTGCCAAGAAAAATCTCCCTCTAACTCCCTAGCACACTCGTCCTTGTCTCCAGAGGACATCTCAGAAGATTCTGCACCTACCTCCCAGGCACAGTCTTGATCTCCTTCTAGGCTTCCTGAGCATTCTGGGTGTATCTCTGTCATAACCTGTATTAAGTTCTATTTTATTTACTCATCAGTCTTCCCTACTAAACTATGAGTCCTTGGGCAGAATCTGGTTCATAGTTACCTTTGTGTCCCTTGCACCTAAGGCCAAGGATAGTTTATATTAGGCATACAGCCAATGATGTTTGCTTAAAAAAATAAATACTCATAGTTTATAAACTCTCTTTTCTTAATCCAGGTTTCCAAATGGGACATTCATCTAATAGATGTGGATACTACAAGCTGTCTTTTTAAAAGATATATTTTATCCCTTGTCTAAAGAAAAATATCTTGTACTTCTGTCATACAATCAGTATTTCCTTGGGATTCACGATCATAGCTGCCTCTGGAGTTTATGGCTGATAACAATTATTTCACCGTGTGTGTGTGTGTGTGTGTGTGTGTGTGTGTTGTATACAGTAAACACAATTTTCCTTTAAAAATAAGAAAAAAAATAAAAATAAGATAAATTTTAATAAAATAAAATGAACAGGAAAGTCCGACATGTGCTGATAGTTATTGCTGAGATGTTAGCTGGGTAAAATGCAACAACAAAAGCCTCCAGAAAACATCAAGCCAACAATGGAAGCAGTTTATCAATTAGAGTTTCAATGACTTTGTCAAAGTAGAATAACATGTGTGCTTCAAAGAAATGGTATTACATTCATAGGCTGAAATATGAATCCAGCAATTTGCCATTGGCTACTGGATTAAGCTAAATGTCCCTGAATTCAATCTGGATTTCACAACCTGGCTTAAATCTCCAAGCTGGTGATGGCTCCACTCCAGGGAGCCCTGAGCAGTCCTGCCTAGAAAGCCTTCTTTCCACCTCTTGCCCCACCTCCTCACCTTCATCCTTCCAAGCCCAGGCCAGGCCCAACTGCCCTGCTTCACCCCCCTGTTATCTCACCCTCCTTTCCCACCACTTATTACCTATTCCAAACACTTGTTTCTTATCTCATCAGCTAACATTTTATGAGCATTCACATATATTTCATCTGCTTTATTAGATAAGCAAGATTTATCTAGAACTATTGCCTCTCCAATAGCACTCATGAACGTACCTAGTGGTCTATAAATACTCATTAAACATGGGTGTGAATGCAAAGGTAGCTGATAAAAGAGTCAAATTATCATTATATGATAACTAAAATAACAAGATCCAGTGTTTATAATGTCATTCAATTCAATAATACCACCCATCCCTAAATGCTCAAGAAAACTCACTGCTGTTTTCTGCATAAATCCTTATGACAGGCATCAACTCAAAGAGCACTTTCGGTTTGGACTCGACGAGCTTCATGTTCCTCTTGTCCCAGCCAGCGCCTTCAAGATACAAGCCATAGACGTACACACCCTCTGTGGGAGGGGCAGCGACGTCATCCTTCATCCACTTGGTGACTTCATTGCAAAGCACCATATTGTCCAGAGCCCAGCCTTTGTTGGCCCGAGTTATCTCCTACCCCGGCAAGAACAAAAGCAAAGGATGTAATGAGCAATTAAGGTTTCTATACTAGTATACAGAGCATACTGACAATGTAGCCTCCCAATTACCCTGACTCAAAGTAAGTAGAATGGTATTTAAAGTTAAAAAGATTCTCTCAGAATCGATACCCATGTCCCAAGTTAACCACTTCTACATACTAGTGTGTGTGTGTGTGTGTGTAAAAGTTAGCACCCATAAGAGAATCATTCTCTGTCTTGTTATATTACTTAAAAACTATAATGAAAAAAGAGAACTTTATAGAGGAAAATTATAAGAACACAACAGGTACACATCAGAGCTATTTATTACCTGCCGCATTGCAGTCAAAAATCCTTGGGGGTTAAAGAAGCCGGTCATCCAGAAGCAGTGAGGTCGGCCATTAAAAACCCAGGAGGTAAACTGGCAGTTTCTTTCTAAAAGTTCAGTAAACCAGAAACCCAACGAACTTGAAACCCACGACGCCTGAAATGAATGCATTAAAATAATTAATGCAGGTTTAATTTTGCTGCTGACTGGAAAAAAATGATGAAATACCAATTTCACCTTTAGAATTTAAAAGTCCCTAAGACGTAAATTATCCTGAAGTTCTTAAATTTAAGTTCTCCAATGATTCTTCCCGCTTAAGATATTATGATAGAATCAGCTGATCATCACACGAATACCAGATCGATGGAGAGCTCAGATGCTGTCCACAGTGTCTACTGTCAATAGACTCGCCTCCCACTTACACACATATTCATCACCAATTCTGCCATAAAGTGCTAAAATAACTATTAAATTTAACAGCTCTCATCTACTTTCCTTAGGTTACATTTTCAACAGATACATTATATAACAGGATCTCTATTTATTAAATGTGCTCATGGTCTAATCAACACTTTAAAATATATCGGTGGATAATAACTCACAGAAGCCTTACCCATTTATCACTTTTAATGAGGCACACAACAATTATCTTCTGGAGATTTCATCCCTTAAAATATATATTGATTTCCTTTGATAAAAGAGCAGAAATGGAAACACAGGCCCATTTGCCACCAACAAATTAATTGCATGTATTGCTTAAAAAGACATTCAGGTCCTCATTTTACTTTTCCAAATAGAAAATCATTTCTTAAAACCAACTCTGTCATTTAGCACGTTTACCAATAGGTAATCAATAAAGAACGCTTGTTATCTTGAGAGAGAGATATTCACATATCTACAAAGGAAGGAAAATGCTTCTCGCTCGATGGTGTGACTTTGGATATGTGTGTGCATCTCAGAGCATTCTCTTCAAGGAAACTAGTCTTGTGGCTGTTGAAGCGCAAAAGCTTGGGTTTGAATTCTGATTCCTGGAATAGGTGTGTGATTTGGGAAAAGATTTCACCTCTCCCAACCTCAAGTTCCTCCTATGTAAATTGAGGGCGATAAAATGTAAGACTTGAAATGAAATAATGCGTGTAAGTCGCCCAGTAGAGCACATGATATGTGGGGGATGCTACATAATTTCCTTCCCTACCAACCATCTAAAAATATAGGACTCTAAGGGGATTAGTTCCTACACAAAAGAACACTTGTAAGCCAATTTCCTTAGGTGCTTTCTGTTTGCCAAGTACAGCTATTCACAACAATAAGGTGATTAGGCAGAACCAGGGCAGCTTCTCCGTACTTTTTTCCACTGAGCAGGAATTCTGGCATCAAACATGCAATTCAGTGCATCCCGAAGGTTTTCACTCATGATGATGGTGCCATCGATGGCAAGCTTCAGCTCAGTCAGCGTGCTGCGGACCAGCGTGAGCACCCTCTGCATCCTGTCTATCTCCTGCCTCAGGAAAATGTTCATCGGCTGGAAGGCACCCATCGTTTGAAGCCTCTCTCTTACCTGCCGTGGAGACATTCAGTGCATGTTAAAAATTAGAAAGCTATTAATGTTTAAGTAACTGGGGCTTCTCAAAAGGTCCCAGATTTTATAATTTCATAAACAGCAAACTTTTTTTTTCACTGCCAGAAAACAGAGAAGAAATAAGAAAGAAAACATGTTAGATGACCAGTTGATTTTTCATCCCATGTGGGAGAGAACAGGCAGCCTTTGATTCACAGAAAGATGTTAAGCACATGACCACAACCATACAGCCTTCTATAGAACAACCATACTTATTGGGAAATATTCACTTGCTGTCAATCTAAGACTTTCAAACATACATATGGGTACAACAAATGGACTTGTACACATAGATGACCATTCTGCTGGCTTCCTCAAAAAACTGTATGTGTCATTTAAAAGCTTTCTGTTTTCCATCAAAGCATCCATCTATCCATCCACCCACCCACCCAATCATTTCCATCTTACAAGCATTTATTGATAATCAATCAGTCACTGTGCTTGGCTAAGTTGCTTTATCCTAGGGTAGCACTGACAAATTCAGCAAAAGGAGGGAGACACTCCTACACCCCCTTACTTACCATACTTATATATTTAATTTATTTTTAGAGATTTTCAATGCTTCAGAAATATTAATCACTACACAAGAGTGACCTGTTCCGTGATACTACATTGAAAGGTCTTTAGGAAAGCTGATTGCAGTATTGATTTCCTCCAAGCAAGGGGTCAGAGTTTCTTCTCAGGGAAATTATTCTCTGGTGATAGGTCCTTGAGTTTGGTCTGTAGTGCTAGCAGCTAAATGGCCCACTCGTGGAAAACAATAAGACACTAAAGAAACAAAATCCTGCAGGTTTCCTTCTGAAAACAGGTGGGAAGGCAGCAATATGTAAAGAAATATGGTGGCCGCATGATGAAAGCATTGCATGTTTAGTCCAGGTCATCTCTTAAGATAATATGGAAAGCAACCCAGTTACTTTTCTTTAAGCAAAAGTTTAAAAAAGTTATCAGGATAAATATTTTCACAATTTGCTAAGATGTCTAAAAATTAACTTTAATAATCATAAAATTGCTTAGAAATTAGTTGTATATTAAACAGACATATCAATTTTTTAAACCCATGAGATGAAGGTGCAGAGTTAATGATAAAAATACAGACTCCCTGAAATTGAGAATACTTGAATGTCAAGGTATACATTAAATTACACAACATGTTTTAAATAATCAGGTGCTAAACTCTAAGAATATATCACTTTCCTCCTAACAAATAACAATGATATGTACCTTGAAGGAAAGTTCTAGAAAAGGAATCCTAACCCATCCGTATACACTTGTAATTTAATTATGAATATTAACATTTACATCAGGTTTCCTTATTACTTATATTTTGAAATAACCACATTTATAGATTCAGAAACTTCTTTTCTGGTTTTTCAGGAAGTCAGTGTTTAAAATAACTTCTTTTTATTTCAGAAAAAATTATGTTTGCCCTCCTTCCTCATTTCCCAAACTGGACACATCCACAGCTGACTTTTCTTTTCATTTATTTTCTTTATTTTATTTTATTTTTTCCATCATCATTTATCCCCTCTATGCTCTCTTCCACCTCCACCCACACACGACGTTTTGTCAGGATTTCAACTCACCTCAAATGAGCCATAGTCAGGGGGGAGCTTCTCCAGCATGTCGTCGGCCAGCCGGGCCACCACGGCCTCCCGGGTCTCATCCCCGCCACCAGAGCTGTCCTTGGGCTGGATGCCCAGGATGGTGTCCAGCACGTCCTTGGCCAGCTTGCTCTGGTAGGTGATGTCGGCATTGGGGTGCAGCCCAAAGACCTCGGGGCTGTCGTAGGTGGGCAAACTCTGGACAACAAGCACCCCGGTAAGCACAGACTGCTGACAGAAGTACCAGTTAAACTGTACTGTCTTAGGAAGGAAACATGTTTTCATTAGGATAAGCCTTTATAAGAGATGTCTCAGTTGTGTCAGGCGACCATCTCAGCCATTTCTCCAGAAAAAAAAAAAAAAAAGCAAACGTTACCTTGAAAAAAATTAAGAAACATAATCAGCTCATGGCATTTTAATTTCTGCATCTCTAGATACTTTAATCAAATAGATGCTGTCATTTTTAGAAGATGTAATACAGAAAGGGAGCTATGAATTGGTGTTTTGTTTTCTGAAGGTTCGATCTGATTCAAGTCAGTTGTTTTCAAGAAGGTTGGATAACTAATGGTTACTATGTTTTTAAGATACCAGAAAGTGACAGTTTTAGCTCAGTTCGGGCCCAAATAAGGGAACTGTATTCACCTGGGGAGAAAGAGACATGGAGAAGAGGTAAATATTGAGAGAGCAAGAATCAGGAAGGAAAACAGACAGCAAGAGATGGAGAGCAAGTGACAGTAGCAGAACAAGCATGCAAAATTCCACACCCCCCACCCAGCTATTTGAAAAGCAAAAACTTTACCTGCAATTTGACATATACTCCTATGTATGAATTGTATCCTACACTTTACTGTTGTCTTATTCATATATCCCCCTCCTTTCTAGTCCCTTGTTTTATTCCTTTTTACATAATGTCATCTATGAGCAAACTCAAGTTGTGAAATGGGATGTATATAAATAAATATATGTACAGGCATATTTAAATTTATACCTTCATAGGCACTCTCCTATTCAGTGCCAATGATTTAAGGACACATATAGTATAATTAAGACACATCTATTTGTTGATTTGAATTACTGAAAGTATAAAGGTGGTAATATATAAGCTCATCACATTTATTTATCACAGAACCTCTAAATAAACATAAATTTAGCCCTTTGGGGCTGTGCGCTTTAGTTTGTTCGCTCTGAGATAAATCTTAGAGGCAAAAGAGATTGCTAAATAATGATCTAATTAATTCAAGGTTTAGAGACAGAAAATGTAGTTACCTTGAAACACAAATCCAATTTCTTCCCCAAATTTCCTGTCAAAATCTATCTTCTTTTTTCTTAGAGCAGTGTTTCTCAATCAGGGGTGATTTTAGCCCCCTAGGGGATATTTGGCAATGTCTGGAGAGATTTTTGGTTGTCACAACTGGGTGGGGATGCTACTGAAATCTAGTCGGGAGAGGCCTGGGTTGCTGTTCACCACACCCCCCAAAACAGCCCCCCCAGCACTTCCCGCACTTCAAAGTACCTGGCCCTGAATGAGGAAGCTCTTCTACCAGTGGACTCCTGCACATGCTCATACACTGTCCATCAGGCCAGGATTAAGGAGCAGATGTCCCAAAATAAGGCAAGTGGGTTGAAAAATAGAACAGACTGTGTCTAGAGCAGTGATGGCGAACCTTTTGAGCTCGGCGTGTGAGCATTTTGAGAAACCCTAACTTAACTCTGGTGCCGTGTCACATATAGAAAGTTTTTGATATTTGCAACCATAGTAAAACAAAGACTTATATTTTTGATATTTATTTTATATATTTAAAGGCCATTTAACAAAGAAAAATCAACCAAAAAAATGAGTTCGCGTGTCACCTCTGACAGGCGTGTCATAGGTTCGCCATCACTGGTCTAGCGACTGCCTCTGCCCTATCATGACAGGTGACTCACAGAAAGAGAGCTCCAAGGAATTGGTGTAGGTTCCCCAGTTCTGATCTGCTCAATCTATCACCTCCCCAAAAAATATTCTCCACTGAAGCATTAAAGAGAATAGGGGAAGGGAATTCATACAAAACACACACAAAACAAATATAAACATTTTAGTCATTAGGTAAAACACACATAAGAAAGCATCTGTGGTGGAAGGTTCAATATGCATCACCATTAAAATTTATACTATAGGGAGTATATAGAGTGTAAATAAAAAACCAAAAGGCCAAATGCTGGGGTATTTATTCTAAGCATAAAATTCTGACATTGACAAACCTGGATATAGTGAAGATAGTTATCCACTGTGCTGCATTTTGGAATACTGTATCCTTGGTAAAAGCTGAAATCTGGTGCAAACATATTTTCACTGAACCAAACCTTAGCAAATGTATTCAACAGTCTCTTATCATAGTCATCGGTGACTCTGCCTCCATATTGAATTTCACCTATCATGTAGCGGACAGTAGACCAGGAGACACCCTGGGAAAAAAATGTAGAATAATTGTGTAAAACTAACTACTGTCTCATTTTCCTCACTCATTCATTCATGCATGCATGCATTCACTCATTCGTTCATTGCTAATTTGAAAAGTGCAGAAATAAAATTAGGCAAACATAGTGATTATTCAACTCATCTTCATGACTTGAAATAGACTCTACATTCATATTTTCATATTTTAATTTCAATAGAAAATGTTAATTTTTTTAGAATATTGAGGCAGTTCTTTTTAAAGCACATACTTCAAAAGGAATCTAGAATTCATTTTCATTTTTGACTATTTTTTTAAAATAAGTTCCTCCACCTATCCCCCCCTCCCTCTGAAAAAAACAACAACAACACCCTGTTAGGATGTTTAATATGCAATGTCAACTTGACTGAGAAATTAAAAGATAATAATAATTTGTTTATTTTTTAGCTGAAATCAAGAGGCAAGTGTGACCCGAGTTGCTATGAATTAAAGATGACTCTGCAAGCACAGAAAATCATCACTCTTATAAGTTTCACTCCAAAGCTGGGGGATGAGAGCCATGTTCACTTGGGGACCCACCCTCACTTTTTACTGAAAGTATAAAGGTAGTAATATATGATAAGCTCATCACATTTATTTATCACATGTGTGAGCATGAAGCAGCTCACACACAGTACCTTTTTGATATCCATGTCATCCAAGTGGTTTTGGATGAACTGCACGGTGGCATTAAAGTCCGCTTGATTGAATTCATAAGGGATGTTCCACCCTAGGGGACCGAACTTCCGCCTCTCCTGGACCGTGGAGTGCAGGAACGCCACTGCGTACAGCATAGGCTTCCACTGGGCCACCGTGCTCACATCCAGCAGGTCTTGGCTCACACCTGTGGTGGTCAGCTGGGTGAATATCTGTATCATCTCTCAAACATCTCTATTTTCTACTTAAGTTATTAATTCTCTTTGTAAATTCCTAATATTAAATTTCACTTATCTGGAATTATTTTTATGACATTCATATGGCAACTATAATTTAACTTTTGCATATCCAGGGGGCATTTCTCTCTGAAAAATCTGCAAAGACATTTGAAGGGAGGAGGGGCTCACTAACGTGATTCAAGTTCCTGCCAATCTAACAAGATAATGTGGGGATAAAATAGAGGTGGAAGAATGATGGCAGTAAAATAAATACTGCTACTATTACTACAACCACCACTACCAAGTAATAATAATAATTGTTACATTATTATTATTTGGAGCATGTGCACACACTATTTTAATTAACATTAAATTGTTAATACTATATATAGAAGCCCATTTCAACCTGAATGTATTATTGAAATAATAATTATGATCACTGTGTATGTATCTATATTATACATATAAAATCATGTTTTTTTGTTTGGTAATCTTTTTTCACTGTCATTACCCTACCAAATCCACTTTATCCCCATATTACCTTATAAATTGGCAGGAATTTGAGTTTTGTTAGCAATTCCAGAAAAAAACTCTGTAGATTTTTCCAGATTGATAGAGAATTATTATTATATTCATTATTATTAAGGACACTATTCTAATCATCATAGATAGATTTTATTGTCCCTGTTTTACATATGAGGAAACGGAAACTGGTTACCTGAGTGACTAACACCCAAAAGAACAAAGCAATTGGTTCAGAGAGAACCAGAAACAGATTTCTGACTCTGAGGGCCAGGATCTTTCCATGACCATGAGTCCAGACAGGGAGCCATGGACAGAGGAAGCCAAGGCAAGAGAATACTCTCGGCTCTGGCTTTGAATGGAGGGCATGTTAGTTGGGTTCTGCTGCTTTTGTTTGATTTCTAACTTAGCTATGGTTCTGACATTCCGCCATGTGGCTTCATGAAATGACGGGAGGCCATGACTTTAACTCAGCCTCTCCTCCTGGGAGAGGCTACTGTCCTACTTCAGGGTTGGAGCCCAAAGACCATGAATGACAAAGATATAAAATTTAAATATTAACATAAAAAAGGCAGCTGTCTAGTAGAGAACAGTACAGGCCAAAGTAAAGTAATATGGGGAACACAAGAAAAAATAAGGTGGGAATTCTGAGCTCTGACACCTTCCACTGCCAGGTTGTATTCCATAGGAACAGCACAAGGGACCATGTGTAACTCATCACATAAATAACAGTGCTATTTGCTTAACTCTATCCTAGCTGATTCTGTTTTTACAATTTCTTTACTAAAACAATCTAAGTACAAGAACTCCAGTGAACTTGGAAGGATTCCTCCACTCACCGCCATACGTTCTCTTCAGCCCTGCCCGGAGGCCCTGCGGAGGCTCATTGGCAAATTTAATGGCCATTTGCAGGAGTGTGATGGGAAACTGCTTATGAACCTCAGTGGTCATCCACAGGCGGAAAGCACCGTGTACCATCTCAGTTTCTGTAACCATGTCCATTAGCTCATCCATGAAATCGAGTCCTAGGTGGCAGTTCTGCAGAAGTGCCCATCCTCCCTGAGTGAACAACAGTGAATGGAAACAACCTATTTTGTATTTTTCCCAGAGACTAAATTAGTGCATTCTTTAAAAATTAAGTAATTAAAATTTAATAGAAAAACACAGTACTTTAATCAAGGTCAAATCTAAGGGTGCAATAATGTTTCATTGAGATATATTTTCTTGTTCCATGTACTGGTCCCACATTCAGCAGGCCAGTTATAATAATATATATTAGAAACATGAAAATAACCAAAGTGAAGATAAAAAGAGATAATAGCACTTGTAAGTAAAGATGCTTGATTGAAAATATCTGTTTAGCTTAGCTCCTTCCCCGCAGTCCATGAAAACTACAGTGAAGGGACTTTTTCATGAACTCTTAAGGACGAAAACAGTGAAGGTGAAGACAATATTGATAACATTTAAAATGAGCTCAAGGAAGCTGAATCTTCAATGGACATTCAGGGCAAGCTGAGGTGTAACCTGATTTTTACCGCATAACTCCCAAGACACTCAAGAACAGGTGACAAGAGGCCCCTCTGGAAGTCGGAGAAGATGGGCTAGCTCAGTGGTTCTCAACCTTCCTAATGCCGCGACCCTTTAATACAGTTCTTCATGTTGTGGTGACCCCCAACCATAAAATTATTTTCGTTGCTACTTCATAACTGTAATTTTGCTACTGTTATAAATCCTAATGTAAATACTGATATGCAGGATGTATTTTCATTGTTATAAATTGGACATAATTAAAGCATAGTGATTAATCACAAAAACAATATATAATTATATATGTGTTTTCAGATGGTCTTAGGCAACCCCTGTGAAAGGGTCGTTCGACCCCAAAGGGGTCGCGACCCACAGGTTGAGAACCACTGGGCTAAGACAAGATTGGAAGTCCAGACCCCAGCCACGTTTCTGTCTCACCTAAAGAAAGATGAAAAGGAGAACCGAAGATGGCGGCATAGGTTAACGCCGGAGATTGCTGCCTTAAACAACCAATTCAAATTAAGCCTGAAAAAGGGAACGGACAACATCCAGAACCACAGGAGGGCTGGCTGAGTGGAAATTCTACAACTAGGAGTAAAGAGAATATCATATCCAGACTCAGAGGAGGCGCAGTGCTGAAGTGAAATTCTCAGGTGCGTGTGCGCGCGGAACGAGCTGGCGGCGCGGCACGGAGGGCACAGTTGTTTACAATCGGGAGGGAGCATCAGACTCTGAGCCCCAGATCCGGGCGAGTCGCTAGGGACGCAGACTCAAACGGGAGAAGCGGGACTGTCTGGCCTCGGTTGGAACTCGAGGGCAGCTTTCCCTCCGAGGTACTTGCAGCGGTTGCTGGGACACTGAAAGGCAGAGCCTCTGGGGACGGGACTGAGAGCAGCCATAACTGCTTGCTCCTGCCCGCCCTGTTGATCGCCTGGGACCCGCCCTGCCCAAGCCTTGCACAGAGGCATTTGCTGGATAACCTCAGGTAGAGGCTAGATTAGCA